AGTTGTGCATAATTAGGTATGAATTATTAAGACAATTGCAGTATAAGCAGAATATTATCAGCCATTTAACTGACATGAGCTATTTCCTAGGTGAGCATAAGCATATAACACCCAAGTTTTTTTCCCTTTGATTCAAATCCATTCCCAAGCCATTCTGCTCTTTATTAACTGGCATTTGATGTTAAACCAGCTCTTATATTTAGAAGCTGAGGAATTGTCTTAAGGCATACAAACGTACCTAGGAATAAACTCCAATGCATCTGGTAACTAAAGGCAACACGTCAGCACAAAACAGTTGTGGCCTGCTCCAAGAAGACTCCATGCAAGCCTTGGGAATTAGATAACAAGTTCAGAAGATTTTGTGCACTATTTCAAAATTATTTTACGCACAAAAGAAGACAGCTAATCATAGTTGCAGCTGAATTCCTAAAGCACATTTATAATTTTGAAATAAAAGAAGCCAGCAAAAACAAAAAGGGACAAGGCATATCAAAGTGTTCTGAGGAAGAGTCACTGAACCCAAAACATTAACTCGGATTTCTCTCCACAGATGCTACCAGACTTCCTGAGCTTTTCCAGCAATTTGTTTTTGTATATTGAAGTGTTCAATTTAAATAAACAAATTAGATTTCTTACCACAATTGTACTGTGATAAGCATAAAAACTTGACATTCACATTAACATTTAATTTGCATCATGAGCAGGTTGAAATGTTTAAGGTTCTTGAGTTGCTTTAACAAAAGGCCTGAAGCACTTCGGTGTTAAGGTTGATGTTGGGGCCTCAAAAGAACACAGAAAACAGAACCCTTCCTGCTCATTAGTTGACCAACACGGCACCGCCACTTCCAAACTTTCTCTCAACAAATATTTGTGTACATTAACCACAGGCTGTTAATATGATCTCTAGTCAAGCACATGGTGAAAAAGCAGCAAGTTGTTTACAAAATGATCAATAATCTGTTGCAATGAACTTGAGGAGCAACACTAAAAATTAATCAAAATGTGAAAAGTTGTGCAAATTTACAAGTTCCTTGATCACAATCATGATATTCATTAATAATGGAAATCCAAGTTACACCTTAATCAAAATTTAGACTGATAATCCTTCATCAGAACTGAAATGTTAACTCTTTCCATAGATGAGTATTTCCAGCATTTTCTGTTTTTCAAATGAGATTTTCAGTAATGGCAATATTTTGCTTCTGGGTTGATCATAATTTATTTGTTTAGGTGAAATGTTAAACAGCTTTCAAAATCTGTGTGTCAAATTCAATGAAATAATTTTGGAAAAATAATAGGCTTTAAAATAATTGCCATTAGACAGCAAAACTGCAGTTCTACGACTATAAAGTTATCTGTATAACATCAGTTTCTTTGCAAACTTCTTTGAATCAACAGGAACTGAAGTATCAATTAGTCCACTTCATTTATACAGTGAAGGATTAGTTGATACTTAATACTTACTAAAACTGAACTGAGATATTTAGTGGGTACCTAAAGTCACAAACTTAATGTTCATCAAAACAAAAATCTGCTATTTTAATTGAGTGACTACTTCCCACGATTTGTCGAAACACTCAAGCAAAACAATTAATGAACAACGCAACACAATGGTTTAACAGCAAAAAGCCACCTTCTTATACTACATAATGGAAAAAAAGGACAAAAGAAATCTCGGGGAACGCAATCAATTCACCACATGGTGCTATTTATTTATATTCATCTTTAGAGTTAATTTTCACTCTATATTTGAAAATTGCAAAAGGAATGATCTACAGCAGTGGATAGGATAAAAACAATATTCTTAAAAGGACAACTCCAGAGTGAAAAAACTTCATTTTATCGATCAAGTTCAGACCATCCGGACTCTATGCATGACCAAATCAAGAATCCTCTTCTCACAACACCCAATGATCTCCTACTGCAAGAAGCATTAAAGCCCTGAAAGTATCTATAGTTCTTGCACCCCATGAAATCCATATCTCTACTCGCTGAATACAGACATGAGCTATTTATTTTAAAGGAATAACTTCACTAAAATGACAAGAGAAATTTCATAATAACACAAATGGTCTACTTCCACGAGTTATAAAGTGCTTTTTATTCCTTTTTTTCCCTTAAGCAAATGTCATCTTGCTATGCACCTCCTACAACATGGATAAGCCTCCAATAATACTGCTCTTTAAATTCACAAATACAGGCCATTTATAGTGCCCATTCAAAGATTCCCCTCTCCCTGTGTGAACCAAATTAACATTTTACCAAAGCTGAATGCCTGAGAACACAAACTGAGTTGTATGGAAGGACAGGTGAACAAGGCCACATTCTATCACCCTCTAATACCACTATGGGTTGTACAACCTCATTGCAAATTGTCCCATATTTATTTGTGAAGCCACAGAAGTTTGGATACAGACAGATAAAACAATAAAGTAAACTAATTAATTTGTCCTTTAATTATAAACAACCTATTTCACCAACATTTTAGTTTGGCCTAACTGCTTTGCATTGAAAAATTAAACAATGAATTATAAAATAGGTTTGTCGAAGTTACTTTGTGGAAATATAAATTATAGTCCACAATGCTGTATCCAATGCAACATGCAAGATGTAACTAATTTATGCTAAGGACACTAATCAATTTAAAATAACCAAAGTTTACACAATGAGTACTTCAAATTTGCCAAACATTTCCCCCCCTCCACCCTCCCCCACCCCCAGTTTCCAAGAGTCAGTTATCTTACTATTCATGGACCCATCCAGATATCTTTTAAAATGTTGTCGTCTTATAACCTTAGAATTATGGAAAGCAATGCACTCTGAAATGTTTTAAAAACCCATTTAATAATGAAAATATGAGAACAAAAATCAAAGTTTCTACTATTTCAAGTTTGACAGTTCATTGTCCAGTTTACAGAGATAGACTGGAAATACAAATGGACTTCCATTCTGAAATTAACACTTTACAAATTAAATAATCTGTTACTCCAAAATCAGGCATTCAACATTTTTAGAAATAATTTAACTTCTGAACAATGTTGAAAAGATATAAATTTAAATTTTTAAACCCATGTGAACCCTCAAATGCCAGTTTGATGGTAGTGAGTAGTTCATATGAGCAAAGCCAAGGGTTTAGGCATTTTCTAATTAAACTATTCAGACACATTAAGGAGCAAGTGAGAACTGAACCTGGTACTCCTGGCCCAGAGGTAGGAACACTCGCACTCTGCCACAAGAGCACCCACACCAAGGGTTCTTTTTACAAATTCAACTTGTTTAAGGATATTGTCACACACCTCTGGAACAGATGGGACTGCAGCCTGGGCTTCCTGGCTTAGAGTTAGGGACACTACTACTACACCCTCTAAACCAAAAATTTGTTTTTAAAAATGCAGGCACAACTCAACTAATCAGTGAACAAGTGGCTACATTTTAGTAATGTTCAATACACTTCTGTTCTGAAGTCTGACCTCTTCCTAGTCTGTCTCCCATCAACGTCTAATCATTTTTAATTTGCCTGTGTACCTCTGGAGCAGGTGGACTTGATCCAAGCTTCCTGTATCAAAGGCACTACCACGCACCACAACAGCCCACCAAGCCAAGGTTTTTTTTTACAAACTTGATTAGAGATGTTATTACACACCTCTGGAGCAGGTGGGATTTGAACACAAGTCTCCTGACTCAGATTTAGGGACATTATCAATGTGCCACAACAGCCCTCAGCCAAGGGTTCAGATATTTTCTAAGCAATCGGTTCAGAGAATTATACATTTCTGGAGCAGATGAGACTAAAACCCAGGCCTCTTGGCTAAGAGGTACAGGCACTACCATTTGCCACAAGAGCTGCTAAGCCAAGGGTTTGTTTAATCAATCTGTACAAACCATAACTGTACCCTCTTGAGTCACCCTTAATTGAAGCCATTAAGCTCATTTGTTTTGAGATTAAGTCTCTTATATGCAATCTACTTGGATTTTAAGTTTGAAAAGATAAACAGCACTATTTTAAAACCGCTTCAAAACTCACCAAATGATCGGTTCCTAGCTCAACGGAACGTTATCAATTTGGATTGTCAACTTAAGAATGTCTCAAAGACAAATGCTTCAAAATTTGCCAGTATCGATTAAAATAGTTCACATTTTTCAGATTCGGAACATTTAGTTTGCATGAAAATAACCTATGTTGGCAAAGGAAGGGCTCATTCTGTACGAACCTAAATTTAATACTTTAAAATTACAATTGTAGAGATTCTGGTGTAGCAAGACTAGAAAGTTGGCTAAGCCTCTGAAAACAGAAGGTTCCACTTTATACTCACGACGAACTTATGCTCTGAATTTTACACTAATTGTCAAACAGGAAGTGTTAGTGAAAAGGGGCTGCCAATGTTTAGCTTTTAACCCAATTACACTGACACAGCGGGTTATGAATAAACTCTGGCAGGTTACCTAACCTTGCAAAGCTTAATATTTGTTAACTAATGGGTGGGGCGGTGGGGGCTCATCATACAGGAGTACAATCTCTTGTGGTTTCGGGTGCTGCGCTCCTCGTTAGGCCTGTTTCAACTACCAAATAAAAGCGCAGCCGTAACAAAACCTTCTTTTATTCAACTACAGTTAGGCTGTTCTGTTCCATCCCTGACCGTTCTGCTAAAACATCTCAATCTAAGAGTTTAAAAGGAAAGAGGTTTTGCGATCAGAGAATAAGCGCGTCTATTTATCCTAAAATACATATGTTGGTCAAAATAGCAAAAAAAAAGCCATACCCTTCTTCCTAGTCTAATACGTCTTTCCAAGCAACTTGCATTTCATATAGATGAATTCCAGTTCACGATCATTCCATTGTCTCTGAACTTCTTTAAGATAAATTTGTGAAAAGACATTTTTTTTTCAAAAAAGGTACAACCGCAGTTACATCCCAGACTCCACAAGCCTTGGTGAAAGGGACTTAAACAGATCCGCCCACATCTCCTCCGATTGGCTCAGGACAGAATGCATCGCCAGGATTGGTTACTACAATTGTCAATCTGCAGTTTTAGCGTTAGAAGGCCTCAGCATGCGCCTGTTTAATTTTAATTACATCGGAGAAGATTAAAGATAGACATTGACATACAAGTTACCGAAAAATGTCAGTAATTATCAGAAATCATATGCAACAATTGCAGTGCTGAAAATGTACCAAAATAACACCATCATACATTATTCACGGATACATTTTCTGCTCCCTTGCCGCCTCTAATTAGGTTTCGCACCAGCAAACACTCAGCTCAAAAGATAAGCAAGGAAACAGATTACAGATATCCCCTTCTAAAGGATTGAGAAAAAAACATTCTTGGGTTGGGCGAACTAAAGTATTATAGAAGCCTTGCAATGCCAGCGCGAGTATAAGACAATTTTTCCTCCGGACTCCAGTTTATAAAATCCCGCAGCCAATTCAAGTCCATCCAACAAAACTGGACCATACTTTTGCGTTTATTGCACAATTTAAATACAGATATTAAAGACTTTAGTTTTTTTTAATGTCTAGTGGAAAGCAAATTCCCCATATTTAATTTTTTAAAACAATTCTATTTGTTTAATTGACTAAATACGAAAGTAAAATTAAAAGGGGCAATAGCTTGGGCGATTTATTTTAATTTTTTTTTAAAAAGAAAAATTAATACAGTCCCCGTGTGAGTATATTACCTAGCAATTTCATTCTGAATGTATTTCTTAAAGTAGTGGAGAGTATTAAATATGAATGGCATGAACAATGCCTGGTCTGAAGTATAAGTCACTGATATTCAATTTCTCAATTCTCTTTTACAGAAAACTGTGTAAAATGTCGATTGCTGATCCTTTCATGAGTGCTATTCACTTTGGTACTGCTAATTTATAGTGCTTCAGAAACGGACACTTGTTCAGTACAGACTTCATTGAAAACAAAAACAAAGATTCAAAGAGCATTTACAAAGAGATTTCTTCCAGCCTTTATGGCTGGACCAGAACAGTACTACTTTGTAAGGGGTACAGAAAATGCTTGAAACACTTTGCAGATAAGGTGTCACATGTGGAGAGAATCGGAGTTTATGTTTCAAGATGCTGACTTTGTATTAGAACTTTGTATTACCAGCATTTTCTGGTGATATTTTTGTATCTTCAAAATGCTCAGTACTTTGGTTTGTTTTGGTACTGCTGTTATGTTGGCTTGTTGTAAACAAATATTAATTAGAATTTTCAGTAACAAAGATTTCCCTTTATTCCCAACCTACCTCCACCCTGTGCCGCCATGGTGTCATTTCAAACCGTTTGTTTGCTATGCTACTGCTCACCCAGATATCAAAAAGTACTAGCACCAACACAAGCCCTACTCAACCTTTGAATTACTAGAACTGTGTTCCAGCTCATCTTCTAATTCCTGGGGTTCTGGAGGGAGGAGTTTCAGCTTTTTCTTTGGCGGGTTTTTCAAAGTACCCAGCCTCTCTTTCACTTTGTACTCCAGGGTACTGTGAGGGATTCCATAGGTACTCTGGGCTTTTGAGACACTCATCTTGCCATTCATCACCACAGTGATAGCTTCTTCAAGGATTTCACTGTTGTACTGTCGGTAGCGTCCTCGCTTCTTTCTGGGTTGCTTCAAGTCACCCTCTTGGTCAGATGTGGCCGGCTGTTTACTGGAGGTTGGCTGCTCTGCATCGGAGCCCCAAGAATCATGACCTTTATCAGCCAAGCTCATGACCCCTTTCCTGTGCCACAAATTCTGCTTTGGAAGGATCACTCTGAGTTTTCTGTGCAGTGCACTTTCAATCTGTGAATTCATGAGCAACGGGCTACAGTTATAATGATTTGTGACACTGGTTTCACAAGAAAGATCCATTCCCCGAACCTGTGGAATCTTCAAATCCACTGAAGTGGAATAGCCTTGGTCTTTCTTCCCATGTTTTGTCTGAACTGATCCTCTCTGGAATGTAACCTGATGTAAAGCAAGTTCCTTGGTATCTGAAGATGTATCATTTCCCCTGAATTTTACATGTTGCAAATTAAATTCATAATGTGGTTTGGCCCAGGGGGCCTCCCTGGCTAGTACTAAGTGCTGTCCACGGTGCTGAGATATTGGTCCAAGATTGGGTATAGAAGATGGCTCACTCCTGCTTAGTGGTTCCTCATTCTTCTGAGATGATCGAGTTGCTGGGATTTTCAGAATAACAGAAGATCCATAATCACCCTGCGTCACATTCTGTATGCTTCTTAGTGACTTTGGAAGTGCCCCTTCAAGACTTTGCGATTCGCCATCCAATTGCTGTTGGCCAGCTCTCACAGGACGCCTAGGATTGGATGGAAGGAAACTCAGGTGAGCAGGACTTGCACAGGCAGGAAGGAATCGATGGGATCACTCCTTTATTAGAAGACCTTGCTTGGGTAACATCACTTTGTGACTCTATAGAATTTAACAATCTCAGCAACTGCATCAAATTTAATTTTTTTTTGTTTGAATAATTATTTATAAAATTGTTAGAAAATATTCACCAACAGTTTGAAATAGCACAAACTGAGGCATTGCAATCAAAGCTCCCTCAAAATAAAACTAAATACAGCGGTAAGGGAAGTTATTTTTAAAAAGGGTGCACAAATTTCTGAAACAGTAGCTTTATTGCACATTACAGCTTAACATATGTTGACACTCTACAATACAGGATTAATTTTAGTATGACAAATGTGACGTTACCTCTAAACAAGTAATAAAAGAGTCAGCCAAATGATGGAAAATTAAACATTCAATGCTATATCTTAAAATATCAGACATTTGTGCAAGCCACACTTTCACAAAAGTGTAGAAATGACCTAATAAATATCACCTTAACGAAACAAAATATGCAAGTCTTATGAAGTCAAAATAGGAATGCTCCCAATAATTTATATATCTGGTCAGTTTACTTTTTACATTGGCATCACATTTTACTTCCTGCAAATCTTGTTTTTCTTCCCTCCCTTCATTTACTCCTGAAGCCTCTAACTTACACGAGGCTCCAGTTCTGAGTGCCAAGGACCCTCTGGTACTTGCCCAAGCAGTCACTCTTCATATTTCAACCAAGGGCCTGAACAGCAAAAGGCAATCTTTTCACATATCCTTGGAAAGGATACAATTTCACAACTATAGGGAAAGATCAGGCAGGTATAGCTAATTGAATTCTTCTTTCAAAAATCTGGCACAGGCACCATCGACCAAATGGGCTATTGATTTCTAAGATTCAATAGTTTATACTTCTGTTCATTCTTCTCCTCATCCACATCGACACATTTTCTTTCAATGGCCATTGAATAGCTACCTGGAAGGTAAATCCTGACTGTATCCATTCCCTCAAGCCAATTGTAGCAACAGTACTTCCAATCCAGGAGAGAAAGGATTAATCAGCACAGACCAGGAACTATTCTAGGATTTCATTTGTTTATGCAGTTCAGCTGTTTAACTCCTTAAATAATTGAGCCTTTTAGGAATCATGCTTTTATTTACTTACACATGATAACTGTAAAATGATATAAAGATAAAGACCGTTGGTCTATTGTTCAATGCCAGCTCTTTGAAAGAGTTAACTCGTTAATCCCATAGCCCTGATCTTTTCCCATAGTCTTCCAGATTGTTTCCTCTTCAAACAGTTATTCAACACCCTTTTGAAAATTATACTGATTCTACTTGCACTAACTTTTCAGTATTACATTTTTGTTCATAAGTCACTGCAGGAGAAAACACTGATCTCCCCTCTGGTTATTTCGGCGAATACCTTAAACCTACATCCTTTGGTTACTGACTTTCCTTCCACTAAAAATGGCTTCTCCTTATTAATTTTGCAAAAGCCCTTTAGAATTTTAAACACCTTTATCAAATCTAAATGCAACATTTCAAATTGCTGATCATAAGCCAAATACTTTTCACTTGCCCAATCTGATTCTTTTATTACACCAATTCCACCTGATAATTTTTGAAACAATTTTCCCCTTGGTAACCTGATAATGTTTTCGATCATATGCTCAAAACAACATCTGGATGGCAGATACAAATTCTACTAATACTAGAAAATAGTATTTCTATAATGAAACACAAAACTGTATCAGTTGCACACATGCCCATTAAAAAAATCATTTATAGAATATTAACAGGGATATCTTCTCAACAAATGTATGCTCAGATAAGACTTATGCATGCAAACTTGATGGCAGGTGAGATGTGTGGAAAGGAAAAATATCAAAATACTTATTTAGTGGGTCTTTGCAGACATATAGAGATAAAAAAGAACCTTATTAGATTGGACATTCAGGCACATATTAGATACATTGTAAAGATCACTATTTTGTAACTACTGTAAGAAAGCAGTCCAGTATGAGATTGCTTACACTGGATAATCTGTAGCCTATGAGTGCCAACCTGTGCTGAATTGTAGGTCGTCTTGCTCGAAAGGTCAACAGGAGAACTTTTGCTTTGGCTCCCAACAACTGACAGAGAAAATTTATACCTCACGAGTTCAGGTTTGATTTAGTTCAGGGAGATAAGTAAAGAGCCGAGTTGCTGCATTCTTTTCAGTTATAAAATCAATTTACTAAGGAATATCGTGTTTCACCATTCAGTGTTTCTATACTTTGATAAACAAAAACAAAGAGGCCCATTAAACTCTGACCAACAATCAGTTCAACGTGGCATCAAGTTTAACATTTCAACGATTATTTTAAAATCTCCAAAAATACATACTCCCTCAGACGAGGCCGATTTTACTTCATCTACCCGGTGTGACCTAAACTTCCCCTGCTACAGTATCCAATTGGTTCTTATACAATTCTAGAATCTTCAATTCTGCTGATCTAGTTGGGTGTCTATTCCACCTGCTGATCATAACTTCCAACAAAGCTCAACTGCATCTGTCCAAAATGCATTTTACAAGTCTTACTGTAACAATTTAATGTGGGATTATTGCATAATTGTTCAGGATGTTTTAATTTCAAACAGGCAATTCCCCTGCTTCATAGGACCTTCCAAAAGAACCTTCAACTGAGTAGTAGACTAGACTGCAGCAGTTCACAAAAGTCATCACATTTCAATGGCAATTAGGGATGGATAATAAACGTTGGCCTTGCCAGCAACACCCATATCCGGTGAGTGAAGTAAAAAAAAATTCTAGATGTTCCAACATACTAACCTGGATTGTTACCCAGAAAGCGCTCGACAGAAAATCCTAGTCTAATTCCTAGCTAACTGTATAAATTATCCCGCAAACACACTCACTGACATTCCTGACCCAAAGCCCTGCCCCAACCTGGCTAGTTCCCATCACCTGACCTAACCCCTCCAACCTAATTTCACTAGCTTGACATGACATCCCTTCTTGACCTGATCCAACTACCTCCTGATGCACCCATTGCCCTGACCCTCTCTCCACCTACTACTTCACCCAGCTGTCAGCCTACCCCACTGCCCATTTTCTCATTCAGCCCTTACCCCTTCACTAACATTCACTCTGGATATTCAAAGTTACTTATGGCAGCTAATGCTGTAAAACAGGGCTGTACCAATTCCTGCGCCAAGAGTATTTTTCCGCATCATGAGTCCGAAGTCTTTTTATTTTCTAAGTAGGTAGGTTTAAGACTGATCATAGTGACAAGCAATGGTTGTGGTGCTAATCAAAGGATTTAAGCCAATGTTTTGCATACTCCCAGAAAGTTGGACAACTCCTTTTAATTACTAAAAAGGACTAGGTGTTCTAGGTTTTCCCAATAACTTGGACCTCTCATGCTAGATACAGCCCACTGGTTTCTCTGCTTTATTATCTCAATGCTGGAATGTCGACCTAGTGTTGAGGCAACAAGAAATAAGGACAGTACATGAAATGTAATCTAGCCAGAGCTTTAGTCAGGCTTAAAAGTGAACTTCTCTACTTTGTTCTGCCTATATAATTCAAACATCCGACAGATTTTAAATTAAAATTCTACATTTTCTGTCCAGACTCCTGCCACAACAAATTACACGTGCCAGTCGAACTGCTATCTAATCTAATCCCAGTTTCCAGCACTTTACCTGTAGTCTTGATCGCTATGGCATTTCAAGAGCTCATCTAAATAGTTCTAAAATGTCTTGAGGGTTCCCACCTCTACCATTCTTTCAGGTGGTGACTTTCAGATACATCCATAACCCTCTGGGTGAAAAAATAGTGTTTCCACAAATCCCTTCTAAATCTCCTGTTCCTTACATTAACATTATGCCCCCTAGTTATTGATCCCTCTATTAAGCAGGAAAATTTCTCTCCATCTACCATGTCTATGCCTCTCAGAACTATGTCTCTTATTGGAGATGATCAATCTAACTACTTTTTCTTGACATTCAATGTTTTACCATCACTGAATCCCCTATCAACATCCTGGATGTTACCATTGACCAGGAACTCCACTGAAATCACCATATAAACAAAGTGGCTACAAGAGCCGGTCAGAAACTTGGAATTCTATGGCAAGGAACTCATCTCCTGACTCCCCAAAGCCTGTCCACCATCTACAAGGCACAAGTCAGGAATGTGATGGAATACTCTTCACTTGCCTGGATGGATGCAGTTCCAACAACACTCAAGAAGCTTGACACATGTAGTACAAAGCAGCATGCTTGATGAGAATCACATCTACAAGCATCCACTCCCTCCACCACTGACGCACAGTAGCAGCAGTGTGAACTAACTACAAGATGCACTGCAGAAATTCACCAAAGATCCTTAGACAGCACCTTCCAAACCCATGACCACTTCCATCTAGAAAGGCAAGGGCAGCAGATACATGAGAACACCACTACCTGCAAGTTCCCTTCCAAGTCACTCACCATCCAGACTTGGAAATATATCACCGTTCCTCCGGTGCAGTTGGATCAAAATCCTGGAATTTCCTCCATAAGGGCATTGTGGATCAACTTATAGCACATGCACTGCAGTGGTTCAAGAAGGCAACTTACCACTACCTTCATACGGGCAACAGGGGACAAGCAATAAATATTAGCCAGCCAGTGATGCCCATGTCACACGAGTGAATTGAAAAAAGTCTTTTGATTTTCCTTAATGTAATGCAGCAGTGTTTTTTTTTTTTTAAAATGGCTCCTCTTTGCTCTCCTAATTTTATTTTTAAACAATCCCCTGCACTGTCAGTACTGCTCAAGGACATCCATTGTTTTGCGTCTTTGGTATCTACCCATATGCTTCTGTTTTTCTTGTGCAATCCTGTACATCCCTTGGCATTCAGGGTTCTCTCCACCTGTGAGTCCCACCTTTCTAGGAGCACACTGGCCCTGCACAGTCACTGT